TTGTTAAATTAACGCGTGTTAAAGCTAGGGAGTGGAGAAAACGCGAAAAGTTAACCGGATACTGATATTAACCGGATACTGATAAACCACGTTAAGACATAACTTATATCAATTATATCACCTCTTTCTTGGCTTTTGGTGTGGATTAGTCATCCGCACAAAATTCCTGCAACCCCTGTGGGTGGTGATTATGTGATGACCATAAATTCGATCGACCCCTGTTGGGCTAGCCAACAGACCTTTCAATGGCCAAAAATAAAGCTGCAATCTCAAAGGAGTTTTTATATATCTTTGTGGCAAAATTATTGTCCAGGCAGATAGATACAAGTAGATGTATATGCCCTATGATCTTGATGTCTGAACCGGGAATCGAACCCGGAGCCAAAGCATGCTTCATGTACTTATCATAGTCATGACCAATTGAATATGGGAAGCTTCGATTTTACCATTAAACCATTCAGACTATAGATTGATTTCTATCCATGTGTTTAAAATATAAACATAGCACACTGGTAAACAAGGACATCTTCTCACCACTATCCTATCAACCACTTCAAGGTGCAAACAGTGGTATCGCATGATCTCACGTTCAGTAGTTACACTATGAAGTCAACTGGAGCAAGGCCGTCATAAGCTAAGCATCGCTGGGTTGGATGAGCCCGCCAACTCTACCCAGCGACCCCTTGTCTAAACCGCCCCTCTGATGTATTACTTTGGAAACTTAAGGAGATCGAACTTCAAGAGACTTTACTTAGTATTTCGTACTGGTATGGGTATGGGTATAGGTATAGATAGTTGTAGTCGTGGCTTCTACCTACCTGAATGAAGCCTCTGAGTAGAAATAAAATTGCAACTCGTGCAAACTCCGGTGGTACCCCACCAGCGTGCTAGAATGCAAACATCCACCTGTGGCAGATGATTCTAGTTACATCTACCATCAACACATAGCAAGAATACGCAACTCAACAAGCGTGCAGGGACTTGCTGTGAAGCGGAAGCCTATCGCTTCAACAACTCCATACAGTAAGTATCTCCAAGAGACTCAGCTAAACTGAGTGAAGTGTTTTATTTTTATCAAAATAAGAACAAAGACTTAGGTTCCCATTAGATATGATTGATTGATTGATTAATTTTTTTATACACGGCTCCAGCCATCCGTTTGGATAGCTATGCCGGAATGGCCCAGCTTTGGCACCAGTTGCCGAGCTGCGTCTACCTCAGGAGACATAGCCCACTTCATCACACTCGTGTAACCAGCAACCCCCTCCACTGAGCGGTCTGGCTTCTATCTACGCATATACACATATCCGTTGACAGAAGTGCTTTGTTTGTGACCTTAGTATAAGGCTCTGACCCGGCGACCAACTGTCCTCCTGTGCTTGCGGTCCCTAGATACCTGGTGGGCTACGGCCACAGTGAAGCCATGTTGCAATTCCGCTGGCCACAGCAACCGTGATTCCATGACCCCCCTGGTCCTCACAGGGAAAACCCCTCTCAACAACGTTCTATCTCGTCCAAATCGCCTCTTCTATACCGCCGCAACTCCAAACTCCCATAGACCCCGACCCTTCCCAAATCGTGTGATTGTGTGCCCTTTGTGGGTCAAGTGCCTGCTGTGTGCTCTGTAAATTGATGATGTTGTTTCGAAGAGGGTTCAAGAATCTGCCGGGCAGGACTGCGATGACAGGAAGTGGTGATACTCTCCCAGATCCGCAGAATTGTGTGTGCTGTGTATTTGTTTTGTTGTACTTTGTATGATGTTACTGCATCTAAGATCTAGATGATCCGATCGAGGCTGTGTTGAGGTAGAAAAACCCTGAGAAGTTGCCGCCGGCTTGCACGAACGCTTCACCGTAGCCATCTTCCTCCTATGCTGACCACCGCCCGTGGTCGCCCCCAGCACAATCCCATCTGCCACTGTGACCGGAGCCGCGCGAGAATTGTCGAGCCCTAAGGGGGTCGGAAGTCGAGTGCGCAAGCCGTCATCTGTCGTCCTACTAGCCACGCTATTGACCTGAGCATGATGGGTTGGCAGCCGCAGGATTCGAACCTACCAGCACAAGCTGTTTTCCTCGACTCTAGCCATAAGAAGAGTATATACAGCAGGTGCTCACCAGAGAGGCAGTGCCAGCTACCTCTCCAGCCGCCTCCCATTAGATATTTTTCGCTGTTCAAGACTGATTTTACTAATGTATATACATTCAGATAATAACTAGTAAGGGTATAACTATGTGGGGTTTTTGATATCTATAATGCCGCATCCTACTTACTCGATCGATAACAAGCGAGAGCCCAGAATTCTTCTGGCAACTATGCAAGTTCTACTTCCCGTACTTCTGTCCGCTCCCGAACTTTACTATCATTGGCCATATCAGCAGCCGCATCCTACTTCTCTGCAGTCCTTGGTACCATATCGATCAATTTGGTGCCACTTCAGATTAGACAGCATGCCCATAACCTCCAACGATCGACCAGCAGTCTTAGGAACGAAGAAGCACACCCAGACACCGCCTATGAGCGTGATACCAAAGAGCAGCCAAAAATTGCCAGCAGAACCAAGTCCACCTTTATCCAAGGGCAGTAGGATGTTCAGCACCGCTCTACTATATTGTACTGGTTGACGATATGGAATCACATGACCATACCCGAAGATATGGCTCGGATGCGAGAGGATAAATCTCGAAGTTCAGCAGATATTGCATGCTGTTTCAGTAAATTGCCTAACCGAAGCCTGAGAAGTAGATCATGACGATAGCACCAGTACTTGCGTGCTTTTGCGATGAAGTGAGCTGTTGGCCTTCTGCCAGGCGAGAAACAGCTGTAAGTAATGCGGCGATATAGACCATGAACACTGCTTAAAGATCGATGTCAATGTCTAGAGAACGCTTGCAGCCGCTGACATTGATGAGAAACAGAGCACAAATAACAGATGTGATTAGCTCAACAACACCGAAGATAGCCGTTGCATACAGCCTCTGGTTCTGGCCTAATATACCCATTAAAGCAAAGAACCTAGATGTATATATCGTATTGCTTCCGGCTCCAGACAATTGCGATGAGAGCTGAGAGCAAAAGCCCAGATAGAGGCGGTAACGTTTGTTCGGCATCACAAAATTCTCCTTGAAGTGTGCAATTATACCTTGACCATGGTACGCTTCTTGCCATCCGTGGAGCTGCATCTTAATCTTGTTGATCTCCTTCATCAAATGCCTATGAGTAACAGGCAGTAATCTGATTTGAGCAAGATTTTCAGTAGATTCATCATCCATACCGACATTGACGAGATAGCGAGGAGGCTCGTAGTTAAAGAACGAGAGGATCAAGATTATACCAACGAACATGATGTGGATGGTGGTGGGAATGACCCATTGTTGTTTTGTTCCAAACATGTGTAGGAAACTTCACCAAGATGCGAAGTATGCAAGCATAATTCCGATATAGAGGTAGCCTGAAAAGGCACGGGTGCAAAAGCCGCGAATGGACTACGGGGCGGCATCAGAAAGGTAGACTCGTGCAACGACGGTGGTTTGGCCAATACCAAGACCAACAACAAAATGACCGACATAAATTTGGCCGATTTGTCCTCCATTGGTGAGGAATATAACGACGCCAAGAATCGAGAGACAACATAGCTGGCGAGTGGCCCAGAGACGGCTGATGCGGTCGCAAAGGAGGAAAGCACTGCGCTCCATTATCAGAAGTCGGTTAGGAGGTCGGAGAGTATTTCTCACGGTCCTGCACCGCCAACACTACCGATCTGCACCATTGCCACAATACCAAACGAGAAAACCGCAAACCATAGCCTCCAGTTCAAGACCTCTTTTGGGCCATCTCATCGTCTCACCCCGTCGCCCCGATTGAGCTTGGAAATAATCTGAGGTTTTCCGCCGCCTCCCATGATGATCGTCTATGAAGTTATGTGGAAGGTGATAAAAACAATATTGTCTAGACACGCATCTCGATGTGAAAATGTTGCCCTCCACATTTGGCAGCTGAACAGCATCCAAATTTTCGAGACCAAGAGTATTGAAAATTTTGGCGTGGACATTGTGCCAGAGATTAAGTCCTTCGTCGATAAGTTTATCAGAGTTAGCGTCGAGGAATCGAGAAGAGTAGGATTTTGCATACCCCGAGCTGCACCTGTATCTGCACCCATAATCTAGATTCAATGATAAGAATACAAACCAAGCCGAAGCTTACCGGGAGCCGCTGTGCTACTCATTACGCAAGTCAACATGGCATTCAATGTGCCTCTTGCGACTCAGAAACTTACGAACCTAAAGGAAACACAGCTTGGCTTGCAAGAGCGCTTCACGACCTCTTTCTGGGCCACGCCAACAAGACGTCAGAATGGTCTTCTATATGATGCTTTTGCCAAAGACGGGCACTACTACTTCGACTGTCGGTGGAATGTTGGAGTTCCGCCAGGCGTGTTTGCACAAGACTTTGCTGCAGCAAGATGGCGGGAACGTGAGACATTGAGGAACACCTATACGAGATCTTGATCTGTGTATAAGTAACAAACTTCTTCCACAAACACTAAACCTTGTACATTGATACAAAACTACCGTCATCCGTCATTAGTTGGGGCCATGAAGCAACGCCTTGAGGATTAGCATGCTTGACTAACTTTAACCTTTTTCACCATTATATGTCAAGGGCATGATTAGTACAGAAGTAAGGCAGTTCCACCTTTCGATATTGTGCCAGTTTTGCCAGGAAACTTTCTGGTCGTTTGATGGGTAACGCTTATTAGTTTCTCGATATGAGCCCGGTGGCGTGGCAGCCCTGCCCCGTGCAAAGTAACTGTTGAAGACATAGCAGACATAGGTGAAGCAGTCGCCCCAGTAGACCGCTACTGCGCCATAGTATCCATCTCAATCGTCCCAAGTACCTCCCATCAGTCTGCTTGATGATTCCTGTTGGCCTTTGTCAAAGCACCCACGCTCACTTAACGGTGCTACGCTCCTCATACGATTCTTCATCCTTCGGGAGGAAAATTGACTGTTCTGTTTCTGAGATATCCAGGCCGCTACCCTCTCCAAGCGCAGCTGAACCACGTTTGACACGAATCAAATTTCTCAATTTCACCTCAAATTGGACCCAGCCAGGGTCCGAGCTTTTTTTATCTTTGTTGAAGCCCCTCAAACACTCACGCTTCACTCGTTCCACAACCTCTGTTGTTGTATTGTCGTCCAAGACGTCATGCAATTCGTCATCTTTGGTGATTGGTCCAAATAGATATTGAGCGCCTGAGGGACCCAGTGTTCGGCAGTTGATCAAGGTAAGCTCCTCCAAGTTGGCAAACGAGTTTGGATATATAAACTTCTCAAGGTATCCAGTCTTCCACTTCTGCCAGGGTACACATACGGCGACCGCGAGTCGCCGGACGCGATCTGTGCAAACTTTATCCGTACAGATGTCGAAGCGCCTTGCGCTGGTATTGTAAAAGAATATATCAGT